CAGACGGCCAGTGGGAAAGGGTGCCAGAGGCATAGGACAAGGCCACATATGAATGAACTCGACAAGCTGGTTCTTGAGAGCAAGCCAGGCAATGCACATAGCGGTGACATACTCCATTGTAGTCTCGACGATGGGAGATCGTGCCATGAAGCCATTCCATGCACGTCCAACGTGGTCTAGACGAGGGTGGTGTTAGGGTCGTCGATGAGGATGTGGTCGAGAGGGCAAACTGCCTGAGGATGCCGAGGAAGTGGCCACGCCACTTCTTGTAGTTGCTCGTGGATTTTTTTTAATGAAAGGTTTCCTTATAAATTCAAAAGCATCATGATACATGAAGTTCAGCGTTTTGGCGCACCCGCCTAATAGAAGTTTAAAAGCCTCAGGCCATACCAAACAAATAGTAAAAGGAAACACTACTCAAGTCCATTCGCATGCTTTTTGCGGATGTTCTAGACAAAGACAGCCTGAGCGTGGAGGTTGGCCATGGCAGTTGTGGCCTCGTGAAGGAGAGCCGCGCATACATTGGGCGGCATGGAATTGTGGTTGTCCGAGCTGGTGTGATGTACATTGGATTCAAGAGGAGGACGCAGTGGCAGTACGGGTGAGGACATCACGCACGCGAGCCTCAGCAGCATCGCTTTCCGTGGCAGTAAGGGTGGCCTAACGTTCGCAAAGTCATCCTGAGCAAGTGCATCAGCACAGGTCTTGGCGGTAGCAATGGTGGCTACTACTAGGTCCTGAGGGACAACAACAGCCGCGACAGCGGCTTCATCCTTGGCGATAGTGGCGGCCTACTCCCATGTAGGCGGTAGCAGCAATAGTAGCAATGGATGAGGGATCGCCATACATGATGGGGTCCAGGTGGCGCCGCGACACCTGGAGGAACGTGGAGCGCAGGAGATCGGGTTCGGGGCGGCACTGTGACACGAAGATAGAAGGGAAGCGAGATCGATTGATCAGTTAGGCGGAGACACGCGGGGAACGTGGTGCGAGGCGCGCGATTGAGGAGACGACGCGAGAAGGGAAGTGGAAGGAGATGATCGGATTGATCCGGTCACTTAATACCATGTAAGTTGTGAGAATATGTAGAATAGTAGATTGATATCTCGAGTACAAGGTACACGTATATATAGGCGTGGATAGGGGCGGCTCATGGAAACAGAACCATCCTTCGATATCCTTGCCAAATACAACTCAATCTATAGGTGTGCAAGACTTCAGTTCAAGGCAACACAGGCACATGGGCTGGCCGGCACGGCTAGAGCTGCATGTCCAACCCAAGCCATATCCATATCATGGTTATTAAGGCGGTAAGGCAAGGCATGGCGAGCTACCCCTTCCAGACGCCTAGGCATTTAAGGCATGAGGCAAGGTGATGCCATACAAACATCTTATAATATATAACGACACAATAGAATGTAAAAGTAATTATACTTTAATATTGCTGGTTCTTAGCCTGTAATACCATAATAAGTAGTGACACTAGAGTACTAGTGCACAACATAAAGTAGCAAAATAGCAAATCTGAAATCTCTCCTCTCAATAGCAACAAATTAGACTCTAATGACACCACTTAATTACTAATGACATAACACCCAACTCTTGCCTTTCATCTCTTAGTATACATCATCATCATCAAAATTGTTAGTAGCATCCAAGCATTCTTGAATCATTTTCCTTAGTTCAGTGCCATACTCTGGACATGGAATCACATCTCTATAGCCACCAGCTAGATGTTTCTTCAATCTTTTAATTCCTGCTATAATTCTCTTGTCACAGAACCTGTCCAATAACCATATCCCATCCTGAATCATTCGAGTTCAGTGGTCTACGTTTTGGATCATTCTTCGGATCGTATTCAGCTGGACTCTCCATTGTGTTGTTGCCTTGTTGGCTGCAGAGTAGAGAAGAACCAAGCACAACCAGTCAACAACCTAGCACAAAGCAGCAAACCAGCAACAAACCAAAATATACACTCCAAGTCAACTATCCAAGCGAAGGAAGGAGCAGACAACAACATAGAACAGAGGAACGGGAGGGGAGGAAGACAGAAGGCGTACTTATGTTGTGAACCGTTGGCAAGAAGCCAGAGCAGAGGGAGTTGAGGCCAAATCAACGAGCGGAGGTTGGAGGCGCGAATCGACGACGCGAATGTTGGAGGCCGTCGAGGAGTCACGAATCCAAGAGCGGAGGGGTAGGGGCGCGGATTGAGGCGGGCAAGCGGCGGATCGAAACGAGCAGGCGACAGTGGCGGCGGCCCTCTTCTCTCCCCCTCTCTCATTGCTCCCCCCCTCCCTCAACTCACACGGATTCCCAATGGGCGCCTGCTTGCAGGAGAGCAATAGGCACGCGATTCCCTCTTTCCCAAATGCAGTGCCTTTTTGCATGCCTTTTTTCTCCCGCGTGTGCGACGTCCAAACGACGACTTGGTTGGAAAATAAGAGGTCATGTCCTTTCCTGCATTGTTGGCTCAAAGTGAGGAACTCACCCTAGTTTCAAGCACTTGACCCGCCACAAAAGTGGGAAGACGCAGAAGAGTAACAATGCCATAGCTACTAATCCAATCTTTTGTGGTGAAGACAAAGCAGATGAAGGTGGGAAGAGCACCCAAACTGCTGATTCGTCTCAAGCATCACAAGGAAAGAGGCCCATTGGAATGAAGCGTGCAAAGGAGTAGCGAAGGAAGACTTGATGCATTATACAAGGATGCAATTCAGGAGTTGCAATGGAGAAAGAGAGGACGATGAAGGACATGAGATGACAGGAGGCCAAAACAATTCAAGAGCGCAAGGTATTTACTAAGGAGCGTCGGTTGATGTGAGATCAAGAGAAAAGATCATGTTATGTGATGTCTCCATGTTAGATCTCAAGTAGAGGAACTATGTCTTGGCAATGAAGGCACAGATTGAATTCTCTCATTAGCTCACTTGCATCATCCAAAGAACTTTCTAGGATGGAAACATAAACATTTTGTAGCCGACAATATGGCATTGTCACGTGGTCATTTCATTTAATTCCACTGAAACTACATGAATCAAGAGGTTTGTTCCTAAACACATGTCAAGACGCTCTAGGGTCCACATGGAAGAAACATTAAAGCGTACCTAATATGAGCAACAATCCACGAAAATCCCATGCTTCATAGTGCAATAAAATCTTTCTCCATTATGACCAAAAACATTTAGGAAAGCTACTAATAGGGTCAAAGTTATTAAGGCGTCGCCTAGTCGTCGCCTAGGCATCTGGGCGATTTTCCAATCGAGGCGTCGTGCCCGCCGCGACCTCCCTGTGTATGGCGTCGCCAAGGCGTCGGACAGACGCCGCAAGAGCGAAAAGGCGGCTGCGAGCGTAGGGAGAAGTGTGCGGAGCGATGCGCGCACGGAGAAAAAACGAAAGGTAGTTGCGCGCGTAGGTGAAATCGCGCGGGAAAACAAGAGGGAGGTGCGCGTGAAGGGGAAATCGCGCGCCTATACTTTCCGCGGAGACACGCCGCACCCTGCAGTTCGCCAATTGAGAGACGGGAGGGAAAGAGATGAGATCGATGGCGGCGGTAGTACCTGCAACGCGCCCCATCCCATCCAGCCGCTCCTGCCCCCTCTGCTTTGCCGATTCGCCGCTCCATCCCATCCGTCCGCTCGTGTCTTCGACATCCAACCTCGCGCCGCGTCCTCGCTCACCGATCCGCGCCTCTGACCTGTGCCCGTCGAGGACTACCTGCTTCCGCTTCTACATGGGCTCTACGTCTTCTTCCGCTGCACACTTCCCTGCCAGAGGCCAGGCCCATCACCCTTTCACATAGGCTCAAGGGTACCTCTTTTCCCCTCCTCTGCATGTCCTTCCTCTGTACAGAAGTCTGGATTATATTGCCTATTTGCTTATGCTTTGGATCTTGGACTTGGATGATATACTCCTGTGATGTGGGATGTTGCTTGTGCTTGGATAATTGGATAGGGGTATAAACTGCTCTGGCTAGTGGGTGGTGGCTACTTGCATAGAGTCTAAAATTGGCAGCAAAAAGGTGCATACCAATGTATGTTTGTCCTGCTCTAATGTAGGTGAGGGTATGTGTATGGCATCGCCTCGCCGCGCGCCTTATTCGCCTAGGCGTCTGGAAGGGGGTGGGTCGCCACGCCTTGCCTTACTGCCTTAATAACCTTGAATAGGGTACAAGGAAAGAAGAATATTGCACAACAGACACCACCTTTTGGCTTTGGCGTATGACAAGGAAAGAAATTCTTGAAAGCTTCAGGGTTAAGAATCTCAAATTCATCTGCCAAGCCATGTTAGTTTGGCTAAACCTAAGCTAAAATATGACGACTCAGCTATGGCAAAATAGCAAAACAAGGAGTTGATCAAAGGGAATTGAATCAGATCATGAATCACTTCCCTTGTGATAGGTAATCAAAATATCAAGAGCGCTTGGCTTGTAAGAAATTTTGGTAAGACCAACACAACTAATGATAGTTATAAGAGAAAAATTAGTAAAGCCTAAAACAAGGACATAACAATGGATTCATTAGACCAAAGGTGGGGAAACAAGCTACATTCAATGAATCAAATATGTGAGTTCTCTCTTTATTCAAGTTCCTCAAAAGGTTTGGGTGCAAGCTGATTTGACATTCCATAAATGGTAATGGAAAAAAGGAATAAACATTCAATGGCTTGGCAAAGAAAGAGGTGAGAGGCAATCAAAGGAATATGTTAACATATTACAGTCCTTTCTATAGGCCTTGCATTGTGTTAAAGGACCCTATTTACCAAGACAAGGAGAGTAACACCAACCAAGAGCAACAAAGACTTGACACGTACAAGAACTAGACAAGTTTAATAATACCACTTGGTAGTTCAACAAAAAAAATGTCATGAGGCCTAATTAGGAAGTGAATAACACAAGATGAAATGAGCAGCAATCACATACAAACAGTGGCAATCACTAACACAGTCAATACACCCATATGGAAAGAAGACATACCGGCTGATTAAAGCATTCGGGTGTGTAGCTAATATCGCTTCAGCCTTCTTGCAATGTGGTCATATTCTTGGTGCCTGTTAGCCTTAGCAAAAACATGCTTCATATTCTCCATCGTGGATCGTGACAACTCAACTCTCATGTCAATCATCTCATCGGCACGCCTCTTCACCTCAGTTAACCTGCCAAAATCAAGCAGCCCTGCTATTAGCTCTTTGGCAGAGTCCTCAGCTGGGGTAATGTTGTGCTCCACAATACAGCGCCACACGTCGATTGCTGCAGATGGGTTAAACTCCTTAAAGAACAAGATGATAGCAGCAGCGCAATTGGATGCAGTAGGCAGTTGCTCATTCTTGCTCATTTCCTTTAGGAAACTTTCAGCCTCACGAGCCTTGCGATGCTTGGTGAATCCCTCCAGTATGGTATTGTATGTGACAGAATTTGCAAAGACGCCGTTGAGGGGCATTTCATCAAGCATCCCAAGGGCATAGTCCATGCTACCAGCATTGCAGTAGAGGCCAATCATGGCGTTGTACATTGAGAAATTGGGAACGAGGCCAGCTTCAGAGACCATCATATTCCAGATGGCTACGGCGTTGGTGTGGTCACGCTTGCGGACGACCAGATCCACAGCGGTAGCAAAAAAATTGATCCCCGGCAAGCAGCCCTTGCTCCGCATCACCTGCAGGAATTTGAACGCCTCGTCGAACAGGCCGCCGCGGACGAGAGTGGAGAGGAAGGAGTCGTACGCGGCCACGTTGGCTGCGTCCCAGCCGACGCGGACGACCATCTCGCCAAAGACGCTCTTGGCGCGCACCGCGTTCCCCTCCTTCTCACATGCCTCGAGCAGTATCGCGAACGTGTCGGCGTCGGGTGGGATGGTAGCCTTGGTGCGCTCGAAGACGTCGTGCGCCACCTGCGCGCGGCCCTCGACGCGGCAGATCGCCGAGAGCAGCGAGTTGAGGGCGACGGCGTCGGGCTTGAGGCCGTAGCGGTCCATGACGTCTAAGGCCGCGATGGCATCCTTGAGGTTGCCACTGGCGCAGTAGGAGGCGAAGACGGACGCGAACGTGGCGACGGAGACGAGGCCGCCACCGCCCTCCTGGTGCATGGAGCGGATGGCGTCCCACATGGGCTCGAACATGGCCGCCTTGCCGAGGATGTCGACGAGGAGGTTCCATGCGTAGGCGGTGTGCGACACGGAGTGCCCCGCCCAGCGGAAGAAGCGGACGGCGGACCTGGGGCGCTTGTAGCTCTCGCGGGACTTGAGCACCAGTTCCTCGACCTCCGCCGTGGGGCCGATGCCGCAAGCGGACAGCGCCGCCTCCACCTCCCCCGCCGGGACGCGGCAGATGATCTCCAGAAAAGCCTCCGCGCGCGGGTTCGACGACTCCTCCCTTTCGGGGCTCTTCTCCGCCGCCGTAACCATCGGCGAAAGCGGGGGCTACCTTCGACCTGCTGCTCCTCTTTTATTCTATCTACTGATTCCAAATCCTCCTATCTCCTGGTTCGCGTCTGGATTTCAATCTGAAGAACTTGGAATGTAAATCGTACTGCCGAATGAAGAACGGCAGAACGGAGTTTGGAGTCTGGAATCTGGAATCGAACACCTACGACACCAAAGGGAGAATAGCAGCGCCGTCGCGGCGTTTTTGGGGACAAGGTCCGAGGCCGCCATTGATGGACAGGCAGGCGAGAAGCAGGGCCCCCACGATGTTTGGGTCTCTCAATCTCAATTCTGGTCCATTGGGCTTATTTGAGCCCACACGCCTCGGTCAGTCGCGCTGGGCCATCAGCACCAACCAAAGTGAGATCTATTGTGGGCCCAGATGCGAAGCTTTACTATGCGGTACTATCCAGGCCCGGTTCGCTTTACTGAAAAGCTACGCTGAAAAGTACTGTTCATTAATTTGTTGCGAGAGAAAAATATTATACTATGTCTGATAAGTTCAAGCAAACTAGCCCCTAGTTTCATGTACAGCGCGCACTGCATGCCCTAATAATGACCGATAATGTGGCACAAATAAAAAAGCAACCCATGAGATTGGCTGCAGGTTTGACAACCAAAACTAGCCACACAGACTTTCTTTCACGGAAGAGAATAAGATATCACCGAATTTAAGTCAGATAAGGTGTAACCGGCCGATCAATTAGTCCACAAGTGACAAACTTTCTCGTATCGATGATACTATATACTCCTGCCATACATAGTATGTGTACATGCAGGGGCGAATCTAAAGGGGGGCTGGGGAGCTCCAGCCCCTCCTACAGCTGGTGCATCAATGAAAATATGAGGATGGCGAAGGAGAAGAAGCGGTGGAGGAAAGAAGAAAAATAGAGAGAGAGGAAGAAGAAAAGACCAACCCTTCAATGTTGTTCTGCATCCGCCACTGTGTACGTGCCGTGTACATGTTGTGTGCGCTGCACGCTGGAGTGAGTGTCGAGCAGTCCGGGATGCGTACGGTATTGACCTGCGTGCTGATCCAATCAGATCAGCTTTTTATCCGGAACAGAGCAGCGATGGAGGCGGCCCGGCGCTGCAAGCAAGAACTGGTAGGCCAACAACACCTCCGAGACAAAGACGCTGATGCAGTGATGCGTACGTCCATCGATGGTCGATCGATCGACAGCGCCCCGCCTTATTAATGTCAAAAGCGGCGCACGAAACCGGCCGATCGAACGGGGGGTGGGGGGGGGGGGGGTGGGGGGGTGGAAATGCGGAATAGAACGGGACAGCGCGATCGTAACCCGGGCGCGTACGGCTCAATGCTCATACGCATGCATGTCTGTCGTAATTGGCTGGGCGTGGGCGACGCTGACACTTGTGGCCGTTCTTACCCCAGTCGAATCGACGGACGCAAGTCGCTCCCTTGACACTCCACAGCTTCGCCGTCGAGTCTGAAGAAGGTGAGAGCATCGCATCTCTGCATGGAATATTTGCCGTGGCGTTTGCTCGTCAGTGCACCGTGCACGGCAGAGGGTGTAGAGCGCCATACATGTCGACATATGCATGGTTTTGGTCAGGGTCAGCCGTTCAGGCAAGAAAGAGATAAAGACGGTAGTGGCTCTGTAACTCTGCACGGTGCCTACTCCTACCGTTTAATTGTGCGCGGCGCGCCTACGTGGCCGCGCCCACTTGACTCCGCCAGTGCGCGCACGCCACATGCGCGCGCGCGCGCGAGGCTCCCTCGTGGCCGCCCGCCGCCCTGGGCTTTCGGACCGGCTGTGTTTGCATTGCATTGCACGCATGCACCGCGAAAACCACAGCGCGCGCGTCTTGCAGCGACAACAACGACTGGGCTAGAGGACGTGCGGATTGGACGACAACTACTCCTGATCCAGGACACTGCGCACTGTGCTGCGGTCACAGGGAGGAGTAGCTTGCATTTGTCGCGGCTGGCGGTACCATGCATTTGTCCGCGTGACACGCCATTCTTTGGGACCTATCTGAATTCTGAAAGACGGAAACATTCAGGCCTGGTTTAGTTAGACGAAATTTTTTGAGAAATTGTACTACAGCACTTTCGTTGTTATGTGGTAATTAGTGTCTAATCATAGTCTAATTAGGTTTAAAAGATTCGTCTCGTGAATTTCGTCTAAACTGTGTAATTAGTTTTATTTTTTATTTATATTTAATGCTTCATGCATGTGTCTAAAAATTCGATGTAACAGAAAATCTTAAAAAAATTTGCAAAATTTTAGAAACTAAACAGGCACTCAGTGCATATCGGATATATATTGTTCAGACGAGCTCTGCTCCCATGCGTCTCGAGTCTCGTAATGCTGATCCGATCGCGATCCGGAAGGAGCAAGGTTATGCACGCCTAGTACTCCTACGTGATTATTTTTAGTGGTCGCTGGCAACAGTAGCGTTCTTCTTGTCACGCTCGCGAAAAAGGGAAAACAGTGGCTCTCGGTCGCGGTCGTGTAGTTTTGGATGTTTGGCGATAGCCGCCGGCAATGCTGTGGATTACATCGCCCTCTCAGTTCAGGGTGCCTTCGTTTGACTGATAAGTTATTATTAAAAATGTCGTTGACTAATTTATTATGAGAGAAAAAATAATATTTATTAGCTGAAAAAGTACGATCTATAAGCCACGTGAACAGATCGTTTGCCAGTAGGCCGGCCTTCACGTGGCCACGCGGGGGCCACCGGCGTCCGGCGGCGTTACGTGGCGAGCGTGAGGGGCAAGAGTGCAAGACCGCCTGTCACCGTCGGAGACCCATCGACAGTACGCTAGCGAAGCGAGGGCCCTGCTGCCATCGTGCGTGCAGCTAGCGACAAACTAAAGGGCCTGGAACATTGTTTTTGTTCACTATCATACGTCCATTAGACACCGGAACTGCCCTTGCGCCAATTATTATTATGGCCATCGGCCACTAATTAACAGACGATACGGCCATCCGGCAACATTAATTAGAGAAAATAATGAGAATTGTACTCCTATACTATAGGTACGTAGACACTTAAAAAATTATTTCCTCCGTTTTCAACTATAAGGTGTTTTAGTTTTTTTTATATATCAAGAGTTTGACATACTCCGTAATTTATATCTAAATTTATAGTAAAAGCTATGTATGTAAAAAAAAAGCAAAATGTCTTATAACTTAGGGTGGAGAGAGTAGACATACCATTTCAGCCGTTCTCATACAATTTATGTGTGGCTTCCTATTGCATTGTCTGTCTAAGCACACCTAGACGGGACATCTCAAGTAGCGTGTAGACGGAATAGGAGCACGATTAAACCATCTAGACAAGGATTAGTAAATATTAATTGTTACTCACGTGGTAATTGTGTAACTAGCGTTTTGTGTCTAAGATAACATTGATCTGGTTGAGACTGGCATAGAACCATTCACTACTACACAAACTTTACTGGAGGCGGACGTTTTCGGTTTCCCGTGACGGACAAAGCCGTCCGCCGCGGCCTAGAGGCCACGATAAATCGTGGCTTAACACAAGCGGCGGCTTTGCCCGCCGCAATTAACCGATTCTTTGCGGCGAGCGCGTTAACGTGCCATTGCGGTAATATATATTTTACCACGGCGGGCACGCGTTACACCGCCCGCCATGATAAATTATTTTACCATGGCGGACACCTTTTGTGGCCCGCCCATTATTATGTTCATTAGCCGTGGCGGGCTTTATTATTTGTCCGCCTCGGTAAATTATTTTCTGAATTAAAAAAATACAGCAGGCATATAAATTCAAATTCAAATCACATCCAGATTTCACAGATTAAACTTAAAAAGTATGCAGGCATTACACATGAGATAATATTGTCGGTGTTTCGGACCGGGGGGTCCTCAACCAACCATTAAATGTGAACTGCGTGCCCCTAATCTCGGATGGTGATGCAAAGAGACACAAGGCTTATACTGGTTCAGGCAATCGGTGTCCTACGTCCAGTCTAGGAGATCGATCTTGTATTCTTTGCACCGAAGTGCTTGTAGTAGGGGATTACAAGCTGGGTGAGAGAGGGAGCTAGTCCCAGGTCTCGGCGTGGAGTGGTGCGAACTGCCTGAGTCGTTGCTCTCAGGCAGCGTGGGAGCGTGCGTGAATTGAGTGAGTGCGTTTTTTGCGTGAGGGCTGGTGTGGTCTCTCTTTTTAGAAACGGCCCTGGCTGCTTTCTTTTATAGCCACAAAGAGGGAGCCAGGAGTACATGAGAGGGCTACACGTGGAGCCTTAGCGAGGAAGGAAGATCCATCTTCGTGGCCTATTCTCAGAAAGTGGCGACAAATGTCGGGAATGGCAATTGGTACTTGATCACTGCGTGCGCCATGCCGCCATGCTGAGGTCATTGAAGTCGTAGGGGTCCTTGTTGACGTTTAGTCGGCATGGCCTCCTTTATAGGTGACATGCCGTGCCTTGTGAATTTTGACTTGGTGGTTCGCCGAGGCTGGCGGTGTTTGTGGCCCACCAGCGCGCGAGGCCTGATTTGCCGAGGCCTGGGAGGTGACCTGAGTGCGATGTGGCGGTCTCGATAGTCAGCGTCGTACCCGGTTTAGGTGGAAAAATGCAGGGCGTGTGTCCGCAAAGCACGGTAGTCCCTGCACCGTCAGTGGGGAATGGTAAAAAAGGAGATTTGACCGCCGTCCCATCGCCCCTGTTGCTCTGCCCTGCCAATCGTAGCTGACGTAGGCGCAACTAGGGGTACTTACACGGATGGGACGGCCCGCTAGAGGGGCGATTGAGGCGGAGACGAGCGAGGATGCGGGATTTGAGCCCGGCCTCGGCCGAAAGCGGAGAAGGAATAGCACGTCTGAGACCCTGCCGGGGGGTCTCGGACGAGGCGTAGGACGAGCAGTTGGGCTCTCCTGCGGTTTCCGAGACTACAGGGACATGGACTTGACCTTCCATGCTGCTTTGTCCTTAGCACAGGGTTTAGATAGCACAGTGGCAGGTAACCCCTGTTGCACCCGGTCCC